CATCGATAATTTTCAAAATTCGCTATAAAATTAATTTCTTGAAGGATCCTTGTGGAAATATCACCAATTATTAATTAAAGTATCCTCTTTTTAATGCAAAAAGCCGTTTTGAAAAATCACTTTTAGTTCTTGAGAAATAAATTTTTGAAATGATCGACAATTTTTTCGAATTTTGCAATTTTCGCCGATTAAGTTTTAAAAATTCGTATAAAATCCATTTCTTGGAATATGAGTATGAAAATTTCCCAAAGTGTTAATAAAAGTGTCCTCTTTCCAATGAACCAACCCGTTTTGAAAAATAACTTTTAGTTTTTGAGAAAACAATATTTGAAGTTTTGATAAAATTTTCGATGTTGCAATTTTCATCGATAATTTTCAAAATTCGCTATAAAATTAATTTCTTGAAGGATCCTTGTGGAAATATCACCAATTATTAATTAAAGTATCCTCTTTTTAATGCAAAAAGCCGTTTTGAAAAATCACTTTTAGTTTTTGAGAAATAAATTTTTGAAATGATCGACAATTTTTTCGAATTTTGCAATTTTCGCCGATTAAGTTTTAAAAATTCGTATAAAATCCAGTTCTTGGAATATGAGTATGAAAATTTCCCAAAGCGTTAATAAAAGTGCCCTCTTTCCAATGAACTAACCCGTTTTGAAAAATAACTTTTAGTTTTTGAGAAAACAATATTTGAAGTTTTGATAACATTTTCATCGATAACTTTCAAAATTCGCTATAAAATTGATTTCTTGAAGAATCCTTGTGGAAATATCGCCAATTATTAATTAAAGTATCCTTTTGTTAGAGTTGCTTCGTTAGTTAAATCAGCATCAAAAAAGTTCATTTTGTATCTTGGAAATTTTAGGTTGTGCAGAATTCCTGATCAATTTAGTTTTTCTCCACAAATTCTTTAACATCCCCAAAACATCAAACATTGGAAAAAATACTTTTGCCATGTCCTATTTACTTGGACAACCAATTTTTCTTCTATACAAACATTCAAGAAAAATTAGTAGGGTTGGGTTGAAAAATTTTGATTGACTTATTGTCTTGAATTTATTATTTTTCCTATGCGTTGGCAAACAGCTCACCTCTTCTTGTTTATATTATCATGATTCCGAGAAAATAATTGCTATCAAATTTCTGCAGTATCTTTATCCTTCATCTTTTGGATTTAGCTTAGATACACAGGATTTTATTTATCATCTTCATGATCGTTGTTGGACATTTGTATTTCATGACTCATTCCATTTTGTCATATTTTAAATAGACCCAACCCAAGCCAATATTTGTAAAATAAGAACAACTTTTTCTGAATTTGATGATCTCAAGTAAGAAGATGATTTGTTTGAAAAGGATTTTGGAGCATAAGCAAGCTCCACTTGAAATAGTTCCTTCTGTAGATGCAATTTTGAAAGAAAACTAATATGACATGAGTCCATGGACTAAATAAGTTGACATATCTTATCAGTTTTCTTATTAATTTCTTTTTTATTCAAATATCGCAATAATGTGGCAATATAGGGTATCACTTCAGAAATGCACCAGAAATTATAACCATAATGACCGGATATCTGGTATCCGGCTTTTCGCAAAATCACTATCCGTTCCATCACTAACTTGCTTCTAATTCTAGGTCTAGTACAACTTTATTTATCATTAGCAACCTCATGGTAACAATCCCAATACGATATATAAAATCTCTTGTTGCAGTTTCGTCTAGTTTTCTTCTCTTCGCTTGTAATTCATCATCACATTCATTACTAATAGAACTGTCGCTGTTATCACTTTCGATTATTAATTAAAGTACCCTCTTTTTAATGCAACAAGCCGTTTTGAAAAATCGCTTTTAGTTTTTAAGAAATAAATTTTTGAAATGATCGACAATTTTTTCGAATTTTGCAATTTTCGCCGATTAAGTTTTAAAAATTCGTATAAAATCCATTTC